CTTGTCCTGTTTCTTAACAGATACGGGTTCCTAAGAAGTACAATATAATCTATGAGTTCCACATGATAAGATAAAACAAAACAAAATGATGGCACTCTGATTCTGGGCATTATAAATCTCATCCAGTTCCCCACACACAGAAAAGAAATCCTGGATTTCTATTCACCCACATCAATCTATATGAAGCTTCACTCATTTAACCTAACAACCTCACTGGCAACAACCTTTTCCACATGCATATAGGTTCCATTTCAGAATCCAATGAATAACTGAAGTTCAGGAATTCCATAGCTGATTGAGGAGATCAGGTAGACTGTTTGCTACTCTTCTAGCAGGAAGGTCTGCTGGTAGTTACAGCTCAGTGAACAGTAAGGAGGAAGAGAGCCCCATCCATCATCAAAGAAGAACTCATCTGCTACTTGATCTGACATTCTGTTCATGCTCACAGTCTCCAGAGAGCAAGGTGCATCCATTTAAATAAACACAGACACAGAAGGAAGGGAGGCAGGCAATGCAGTCAACATGATGAGTGCAGAAATAAGTCCACAAATCTACAAGAGTAGCTGTCAGTGGAATGCAACCACAACACAGGACCCTTTAGGCATGTATGGGAAATACCCATTTGGATGGCTGTGATTTCAGAGCTATGATTGCGAGTTGCCATTTGCCTCCACTAATGCCTGCCACTTAGTAGGTGTTGAACAGTAATTGACATGCTGAAAGGATACACAGGCTTGCCTTGAATCTGAACCAATTATCAGACACCCTAATTACAAAGCCAGGGTCAGCTGGAAATAGGAAACCACCAGCTTTTTGTCAGTAGAGTACCTTCCCTGACAGGGTGGGATCTGCCTATGTAACTGTACCCCACTTATAAGGGCTGGAATACTTAGATGAGCAGGGATGTCTTCAGGCAAATACTTAAATTTGCATTAAAATAGCACTAAGCATGTACCCTGGAAATTAACACATATCTGAAATGCTCCATTTTATTGTGTCTATTTAGGTGAAGTTTACCAGTGAGCAAGCAATGGTCTTGATTGCTGCCACCTTTTAACTATTTTTGTGAAAAAATTTTTTAACACTCCAAAGATAACCTGAACTCAACATCCCAGGAAACTTGGAACCTCAAACGAGGGTAAGTGTAGTACCTTCCCAGTGCAGTTCCACAGTTCATTTGGTATTTTCATTACATACACAACTATTTGCTCAGAACTGGGAAGTGAGTTGAAGTGATAGTCTATTGATTCTACACCTTGTAAAATATAATTCTTTAAGAGGTTTCCTTGTAAGACCGTGGTAATTCAATAAAATTGACACCTCCTTTAAAAGTTTTGTTAGTCTGAATAAGAGCCTAAAGATTGAGTGCAAAATGACCAGGCTGTATCAGAAGTGAGGGTGCAATCCCCTAAAACAAGCAAAATTATTAAAAATGCCATGCACAAAAGATTACTCACAGTATATGTAAAATTATACTTGTTTGATCTCAATTATCACTGTTTATTTCTCAGCACTGAAATGTTTTGGATTGGCTGACATAGAACTCCCAAACACTAGTTCACAATCACATGTACAAGGGGAAAAACTCAGAAAGCTATATTCAGGAGAAGTTAATTTTTAAAAAAGTGTTGAGAATAAGGTTTCTAAATGCAATCTAATCTGTGGCATCTCTGAAGGAATTTTCTCTTATATATCAAGCAGAAAAATTTCAAAGGTCAGCTTTGCAATATTCTTGGGCTGATGAAGGTGTTAACACTGTTCTAAGCAGTATCTGCCAGCTGGTTCTTTATCATTTAACCAGTTTCTATGGACATATACAGAAGTCTATTTCTTCTTCTAGTCAACACTCTACAACTGGATAAGAATACAGCCTAAATGGAATGACTCTTTGCTCTCCTGGAAATGGTAAAACGTTCAGCAGTGTCTAATATTGATATTCTTCTTCTCAACCCAATAGGCTGTGCTACCAATCCTCAATTTGCATTAGGAAATCATTGGGTTCTCACAGGATGTCATTCATACAGGACTATCTAATTGCATTTGCCCACGTGAAACAACACAGCATCCTTATTCACTCATATGTATGGCCTGATACTTTGGTTACCAATCATACTGCACAGGAAAGTAGAAAGCTGCTTTCTCTAAATGCCACCAAGATTTTTGGGGCTGGCCCCACACAGGAAATAAAATGCTGTTGATTCAAAGTGACTCTCAGTGGAGTGGTGATCTTAAAAACCATGTCTGCAAATAAGGACTCAAAAGAATTTGTCATTAGGATAGAGTGACACCAATCCCTCATTTTGTGGTTAATAAAACAAGTCCTGTATCCAGCTTGGCAAAAGGCCCTGGTTTCATTTATTTTAATCCATGTTGGAGGGCACATGGGAAAAGCTGCCATTCATAAGTGCTTCAGGAAAGGATGCCAGGGTGCCTCATGGCAAAATGTGCACTGGCCAGACACCTTTCTGACCAACCTTTTGAGCAAAACTAGACTATTCCCAAAAGAGTTGGTGTACTGTGCTTTCTTTTAAAATTTAATTAATTTTTAAACTGCAAAATCTATTTTTGCATAACATTTTTCTCCCAAAAGGCCCAGTGGAACTAAGGAAAGGGGGAAGGCAAGAAAAAGAGAGGAATTGATCTGATTTCTAATTTAATGGTCTCGAGTATCAAACACTGTGTAACCAAATACAAGAAACAAAGGACTTTCCCACAGAAAGTCTACATACGGTCTTCATTTATGATTTCCTGCCCCAGTACATAATCAGGAATTTTCATTATAAAGTGGCACATCTATCTCCTCAGAGAGCTCTCTTTGAATAAAAAAAGGCAAGGCACCCTTTGGGGGATCCAGTATATATTTTTAAACTTCTTATTAAAAATCAACCTAATTTATGGAGCATGTTCAGGAAAAGCAGGTAACGAGTTGCTTTGGCAGAAGCAAATTTAATTTGTAGACCATAGCTACCCTTTCCTACTTCCCCCCCCTCCCTTAAGAGTTTCCGAATGCCTTCGACCTTCTTCGTGCCGCTCGGACTCTGCTCCGAACAATCCCGAGTCCCTACGAGCCCCGCGCCCAGGCCGCGCCGAACCCAGCCGAGCGTCTCCGAGCTGAACCCCATAGACTTTTCCGGCCTCGTCTGGGCGCTGTCCACCACTCACAACGCCTGAAACCTCACCGAGCTGCGGAGTCTGGGGCTTCTATGGAGCTCGCAGCAAGGTACTGGAGATCACAGACTTTTGAAGTTTTGAAACATCCCCCTCAGAGAGAAAGCGGTGGCGCAGGTTACATTACCTGACCTGCAAAGGCTCCTGGCAGATGCAACCTGAACCTTGTTGCAAAGAGCAATTCCCCAGGCCCCGCCTCCCCATCCTTTTGGGTTGCACAAGCTCTAGAGAAGCCCCAGGCTAAGTTACCCGTGGCTCACAAGGGTGCGGCAAGCCGAGGGGCCTCCTTGAAGAAAGCCCCAGGGAGCTCTTGAACAAAAACAAGAAGCGTCAAGCAGATGAGGGAAACAGTCTTGGAGCCGCTACTCCCTACCATCATGGCGCCGCCTGGAACCCGCTCGTCATGCCTGTTACACATGCAAGATTTTTTTGCTTCTTGGTTCTGAAACCTCAAAGCATGCTTCGTCTCCCACCCACCTTACCAAGAAAGGGGTTTTTATTTTCCATTGTTTTCATACGGGATGCAATTACTTCAGCTATTCTGTCAAGTTGAAAAATAATCATTTTTGTTTACTGCACAGCAGCCTCTAATTAGGAGCTTGTGTGTGCACGAAGGTGTCACAGCAAAGCGACGTGGAATTCTCGCTAAACGGTCTTAATGAACTCCTCCGTCCTGAACTGACAGGCCAACGGAAGTAGTAGAGCTTCAAGGCCTCAAGGGTGCTCACCCCTCACCAGCCGGCCACCCATTTCCCCAAGCAAAGCTGCCTGTGGGCTCTCCAGGAGCTGCCGAGTGGATGGGGCAAGAAGCGAGCCTGCGAGTGGGAAGGAGGGGCGAGGCTCCCTATTGAGAAAGTGTGGAAAGGAAGGAATATCCCATTTTGTTTTAATTTTCAACCATCACTCAAATCCACCCCCAGTTAATTAGGAGGGGAAACATATCTAAGGGAGAAGGGGGCGGCTGGCAAGTGGGGCCCGAAATCCGCATTGTGGGTAGATTATACAGATTATACGGCCTATGCTGAGTATAAATACATGCACTGATAAAGGCCACCAAGCGAAGGAAAACTGCCTGTGTCAGGGAAGCTAAAGCTGGGAGGGTGGGGGAGGACAGGGGCCAGGGGCAGCAAGGGGCGGGCCTTCAGCCTCACAGCCAGAGTTCCCTTCCATCTCAAGCTCTGATACAGCTGTGCCTGTCACATCCGCTTCGAAACCTACCCCTTCCCCTAGCTCACGCCCCCTCCTCTAACACTCGCGGGGGTGGGGGTGGGGGTGGTTAAAAACCACATCCTCCAATTCAGCACCAAATCCATGAACAGCAGACACTTGATCCTCCACCCCACTTTAGGGCAGGGTCCCCTCCATATTTTAGCCAAGTTCAAAATCACTGCCCCAGGAGAAGAGCAGGGGTACGGGATATAGATTCTATGGAGGGCAAGAAAAGAGGAGGAGACAGAGACAGAATTAGAGACAGAAATGGAGGCAGCAAAACACAAGGAATACTCCACGAGCAAGAGTAATGACCATAACCATGCCAATAGTGTGATGTTCTGATCAATATGGCGGCCACTGTCATTCATACAACTATAGGCGCTCCCCTTCCCTCCCCCCAAAAACACCCACCCTAGGAGTTGGGGTGGAGGACCCAGAACCAACGTAAGGAGTGGGGAAAAGGGAACTCAAAGCCAGGTGTGTGTGTGTGTGTGTGTGTGCGCGTGTGTACACACGAATCAAAAACCAGGCCTGGAGAGCAATGTGGAGTGAGCAAGGTAATAAAAACGACTTCAAAAATTATTAATAAAAGTACAAATCCCAGTGCTACAGGGACTTACTTCATCTGCTTCACAATGGTGCTTTTTCCTGATTCTCCAGCCCCTGTTGGGACACAGACAGGGAAAAAAAAAAACTGGTGAGCATCAGTTTAGGGGAACGGAGAGGGGGCTTTAAGGCATGCGAGGGGGCTAGCGATCCGGGGCACATAGTAGTGCCAACTTAGGGACTAGGTCTCCCAAGGGAGCAAAGTGGGGTGGGGGAATTGGTGGCAGGGGCTGCGCTGTGGCCAGGGTCGAGGAATGGGGGAGACAGCCGCGGTCCTTACCCAGCAGGAGTAATTTCACGTCTTTGGCGGCGCTGATGCCATCCTCTTTGAGGTTTTTCTCAATCGCCTTGCTCCGCTCGAGGGCGGCTCTCTCCTCTGCGCTCAGAGTACATCCCATGGTGGTGGCCCCTTCCCTGCCACAGCCCGCACGACTCGGCTGGCTCGGCTCCCCGGCTCGGCGCACCCCCCCACCCCCCCAGAAAGCAGAGCCTGGGTTCAAAGGGGTAAAAATCACGATATCCTCTCCTTGGGTGGGAACAAAAATGCCGAAAGACCAGAAACCCCCAAAAGAGAGCCGCTATCAAGATCCCAGCAGCGGAGATTCGCGGCAGTCGGCGGGGGTCTGGGGGTGCGGAGGCGAGGGTGGCCGGGGTCTGGGGATCCGGATCCGAGGGAGGAGGCACCCGAGGGCCGAGGAGGCGCGGGTTGCAGGCACTGAGGCTGGTGCACGACCCAAAATAAATAAAATAAGAGTCGAGGCTAGATCCGCAGCCGGAGCCGGCGTAGGGTGGGGTGGGGGGCAGGGTGGGTCCTTCTGTCGCGGCTGCTGGAGGAGGAGGAGGAGG